GGTTGTGTTTCTGCCGCACCGTGTAATATTGATGGAAGTTTCCTTCCTAACCATTTGTTTGAAGACGTGTGGAAATTCAACATCTTGATTACGGCTTTACTTACTGTTTGGGTTATATCTCCTATCAATTTCTTGGTGGGACTGTTCAAGATTTTCAAGTTGATTTTTTCGCCTTCTCTAGGCTCCGATTTCAATTTCTATATTCGTATTTATTAACCAATCAGCGACGTTATCACAAACGCACCGTCAAACAGATTAATTAATTCCGAAGGCTCACTCCTAAAAATGATAAACCGTGTTTGCCTACATTAAAATAGATGTTTAAAAATTGGGAAAATATTTATTAACCAATAAACGTTTGGGTTCAATAAAATCTAACTTTTAGTCATTTCGGAGCCGATTTCTCGGTTATAAATGCTAGTTTTAGCTTGCAGAAATTTTTTTATTTTATTTTAGCCGTGAACCTTTCACCAGAGTTGTTCGTTCGTTCTTACATAAGCTGAAATTCTCAAACCTTTATTAATTATTCGCATATTTATTCGAGTACACTATATTGCAAGTAGGTTTAGAGATCTTGAGTTAAGAAACACAAAAGCAAATACGAACCGAGTTATTGTCATATTTTAGCAGTAGTATTAGTGCAACTACCTTCGCTGCCAGCTTTGCCCGCGATGCGGTATCTGCTGCTACTAGAAAATTACCCGCATACATAAAACAGCGTAAACACGTAGCACTCGTATGTACCCGCATTCTATTTTCCATCATACTAACGCAAATATTCTGTTGCATTGTAAAAAAAAAGCAAACTGATATTTAGTGTGACTGTTTAGCAAAGAATCTTTGTAATTCATTTCTTTCAATTGGAAATGAAACTAATACTCAATAATAGAATTCATTTGAATTTGTTTGAAGATCGCTTATTTCTTCATATATCTTCGCGTATTCCTCAACATGTGTGCCTAGATCGGCTCGTCTAGTCAGTTTAATGTTGTCGGTAGGACGGTCGGCCACGACCAAAGGTTCCATACGCTTAGAAATCTTAGTAACAGCCGCACGTCCTACTGACAGTGTTTTTATTCTTCATGTTTTGTAGCGCTTGAAGGCCTTGTCAAATCTTGACAAACTTGATACAGTTATCGATACGGCTATCGATAGTGCTAGTTGCCTTTCCAGTTTTGTTTCTAAGAAACGCATCAGAATTTACTTACAAATTTGATGATATCTTTTCTTGCTTCTTTCGACGATTTCTCCAGAAGGACAACGTCTTATTTACATTAACATTGATTTCGGTAGCAGCACTTATAATGATTGATTCATTTTCCGATATACAGACTGTGTAAGTGCTTCGACATAAGTGTGGATCTCTGTTGGCAAGCGCCGGGATTCGACAAATTCTTTCGTTCAATAATAGTGGCTAATGGCTGTACATTCAAATAACGATAATTAATTCCAATCAAAATATAAGTGTATAGCTAATTCTTATCAATATGTAGAGACCCCAGCTTGTATTTATTTCATACGCATATAATATATATGTAAATCTGTCTATTCTGCTATAAAACGTATCGTATTTTGAATAACAGAAGAAAATCAATTTATATATATTTTCTATTGCAATCCCTATCTATCCCACTCTTTCTCTCTCTCTCTCTCTCTCTCTCTCTATATATATATATATATATATATATATATATATATATATATGCTGAAATGTACCCACATAGATAGATAGTCTGTGTAAAAGAGCGCGCGCGAGAGAGAGAGGGAGAGGGGGTGTTTGAGGAAGATTAAATTGTATATATGAGTATGTATCTACGAAATTCTGCTAATTAAATAATTTTTAACCTAATTTGAATATCCAATATATACATATTTACAGATTGAGTCGGGTCATGATCGGATTAATTTGGTAATAAGCAGGATGGGAAAGATAAATATCAAGAGATTTAGATAGATAGATAGATAGATAGATAGATAGATAGATAGATAGATAGATAGAAACAGCCTGACAGAAATATGAACATAGATAGATAGATAGATAGATAGATAGATAGATAGAAAGAAAGAAAGAAAGAAAGAAAGAAAGAAAGAAGAACGGATTTAAACATATACGAACAAGGAAATAAAGGTAGATGTGATTATATTCAGACAGATATGAACAGACCAAGATAGATAGATAGATAGATAGATAGATAGATAGATAGATAGATAGGAACAGACAGAGATAGATAGATAGATAGATAGATAGATAGATAGATAGATAGATAGATAGATAGATATGACCAGCCTTAGATAGATAAATATTAATGCAAAATTCATATTGATCAGGCAAAGCTCATCCTTCATCCAATATGACAGAATACTAAAGGAAAAAAATATCCTGCTTCCGCCAGAATAACGATGCTAATGAGATAAGAGCATGATCCATTTTTCCTGCCAGAATCTTCGTCTCCGTCGCGGGAACCTGTTCGCTGTCTCCTCTTAGTTTTTAATTGTTAAAGAAATAAAATAAAATTCCAGTCAACTGTCAAATTGTTATTAATTTTTTAAATACATATGAGACCAGCAAATCTTCATAAAGCATCTTAGCAATAGTTTTATTTCTAGATTTGTTCCAATTTAGAGATGGTTTTGCTGTATTTGACAGAAACTAATTAAAAAATTGTTTAGGTTTTATTTGTCGAGTTGCGAAACATTTCAAATAAATTCTAATGCGTTTAACCGTTTCTAAAAAGAGTGTTTTTAAGCAAGTTATTTTCTATGATATATGACAAAAATATTCTAGTTCAGGAAATTTCCGCATTTGCAACTCTGAGAAATTGCTTATAATTCGGTAGAAATGAAAATGTCGGCTTTTTTATTCTTACGCACTATGACGCTGGTAATTTTTCTTCAAGAATTTATTGCACAGTGGATAAAGGCGTTGGTTAGATCGAGAGAATAGGACCCAAAGAGTGTGAGTACAATACCTGGTTAAGGCAGTGGAGAACTTATACAGGGGAATTAACAGGAGATAACTGATAACTGACATCCATTAAAACATGGCCCGTGGAACTAGAACAGTCTACCCCAGTGATCGAAGTAAAGGGTTCAGTTTCACATTCCAACCACCTGAAGAAGGCTGGAGTGCACAACGGCCGAAACATTGTAATAAATATGTCGACAAAGATGAGGATAATAGTCGGAATAATGTAAATAGTGTACATAATACCTCATCTCAGAAATACAGACAGGCACTGAATTTATTGCTGGTAATAATATTTTTACAAAGTATTTCTTGGATCAAAAGATATTTTTACACTCTCATAGTGGTTTTGACACCCGTTTACAGGTTAACTATTTACACAAATCTGGGACTTTAACAGGTGCTACCATCCCGGGTCAGGGTGGACCTGGGAACACCAGCAATTAAGAGGTGGTTCCACGCTCTTCAAAACCTCTTGATTAGAGGCCTTGCTGCTGGACGTAGTTTATCGTCATACCCAGGAAACACAGAATTTGGAACAACGATTTTACTTTCTATCAAGTATGAGAAAACGAAGTTTGAATAACAACAGCATGTTTTTATATATCACTAAATAAAAAAAAAACCCTTACACAAATTTTTATTTACAAAATAAAAATGTTCTTGAGAAAATAGCCTTCAAAGGTCTAACTTTGATTTTAGGATTTAGAAAGACATTTAAATGTGCATGAAAGAAGATCTAAGCTGATAAGAGAGAAAGAGAGAGAAAGATAGATAGATAGATAGATAGATAGATAGAGAGAGAGAGAGAGAGAGAGAGAGAGAGAGATGAGAAAAGACGTTTACTCTTCGTTCCTATTTAACGATTTTTTTTTAAGCGTTTTACCCCAAGCAAGGCGGGAAGCCACTAGGACTCAAGGTGTTACCGAAAATTTGGAGCAAGATCAGATAGGAGTGATAGATGAAAATATGAGGAGAAGGATAGTGGATAGATCAAGGCAACTGGAGATGTCGATTGACATTACATTTGAATAGCTGGAGATTATAGCTCTCAGGGAAACTGGAATAGGGAAGGGAGTTCCACAGGTGAGAAGTGCGAGATATGAAGCTATTGGAGTAGAAGAGACGGCTACATTTAATAGTTTCGACAGTGAAAGGGACGCCAGCCTCGTAGGGCGATTGAATTCATGAAATCTGGGAACCAGCGAATGCAGCTCCTCGGAGCAATTGCCATGAAAGTATTTGTTAAAAAGACAAAGAGAGGCGACGGCGGGACTGTGAGAGAGTGACTGTAGACGAGATGCCTCTAGTGTTTCTTTGTACGCGTTTACGCAACGTGTCTAGCGTTAATAACGATATCATTCTCTTTTACATTTTTTTTTAACTTATTTAAATCTTAGAAGATTGGATAAAGAGATAGAGGAAAAGAGATTAGCGTATTGTAATTTGGTCTATCAAAAAGGAACTCGTATGATACACAAGATATATCATTTTTGTAAGTGAAAACTTGGAGGTCGCACGATACCTGAGATCGCGCGTTACACGAATATATACCGTAGTAACTAAGTTCACTTTTCTTTGTTTCAGAATAACAATTCTAACTTTAAAACTGTGGATAAGACAGCCAGAAACACCACTACTACTAAGTGTCCGTGGTATTTCACATAGAGAAGGAATCCATGGAGTACCTTAAAAAAATGTTCCCTCTGCTCAGTGATATAATTTTCAGTGTTGCTATCTTCTTGGCCACCGCCTCCATTTCTATTTCCTAGGAATAATTCAAGGTTTATTTAGACAACTACAAATTAACTCTATGTGATGGAGTGTCACATAAAAACCTGTCCGTTTTGCATTTTGTTCGGTAATAGGAATTTTAACCAAAAAACTGCGAGATCAAACTTAAGTAGATTATATTCATCTTCATCTCAAGATAATCCTATAGACTAATCCTTTGCTCTCAACATCGAGACGTATTTCCTACAATATGAAATATACAGGTAACACTTACCGGTTTTTGTGAAATATTTGATTTAACATGGAATACAAAGAGGGTTACTATTTTCATATTGCCATCTTATTATTTTGTTCATGTGCCATGTCCATTCAGGAAATAGGCGGTCATATCTCACCATTACTTCCTGCCTTTCTTCGTTTCGTGCGCTCTCGTATGAATACGTATGATGGCAGTAAATCCTTAATTTTCTTTATATATGGACATTTTGCTTTGAATTTCAAGACAGATTTTCTCACAACCTTTTAATTTATTTATTCATGTTTTCCAGCTTTTATTTTCTTGATTTTATTTCTGTTTTCTTACTTTGCTTTCCTACATCCTGTTTTTCTTTCTGCCTTTCTCTCTTTCTTATTTTCCGTTTTCTTGCCTTCTTTATTTCTTTCTTTCTTTCTTTCTTTTACTTTCCTTTTTTTTTCTGTTTTCCAGCCTTTCTTTCTTTCTTTCTTTCTTTCTTTCTTTCTTTCTTTCTTTCTTTTTTTTACTTTCCTGTTTTTTCTGTTTTCCAGCCTATATTTCTTTCTGGTTTCCTGCCTTTCTTTCTTTCTTTCTTTCTTTCTTTCTTTCTTTCTTTCTTTTATGTTCCTGTTTTTATTCTGTTTTCCAGCCTTTCTTTCTGGTTTCTTGCCTTTCTTTCTTTCTTTCTTTCTTTTACTTTCCTGTTTTTATTCTCTTTTCCAGCCTTTATTTCTTTCTGGTTTCCTGCCTTTCTTTCTTTCTTTCTTTCTTTCTTTCTTTCTTTCTTTCTTTATTTCATTTTTTATTAATTATTTATTTATTTCTTCTATTCAGCCAATATACACGTTCTTCCTTTCTTTCTTTCTTTCTTTCTTTCTTTCTTTCTTTCTTTTACCTTGTTTTCTAAGATTCTTTCTGTTTTCCTGCCGTCTTTCTTCGTTTCTTTCTTTCTTTTTCTTACTTTCAGTTCTTTTTTTCTTTTTTCCTGCCTTTTTTTTCTTTCTTCCCTTCTTTTTCTCTGTTCTCTCGCCTTTTCTCCCTCTTTCTTTCTTCCTTTCTTTCTTTCTTTCTCCATTTATTTGTGGTATCCTGCCTATTTCTCTTTCTTTCTTTTTTACTTTTCTTCTTTCTTTTCTCTTTCTTTCTTTCTTTGTCATAGTTTTTTCCTTTCATTCTGTTTCTATACAATCATATCTTTCGTTCTATTTTTCCATGTGTTTTTTTTTATCTTTTTCTCATAAATTCTTTCTTTTTTCTTTCTTTCATTCTTTCATTTTTTTTTTATTTCTGATTTCCTTCTCTTTTTCTGTCTCCTGCTTTTCTGCCATTTTTCTTTTTTGTTTTATTTTTTTTATGTTTCTTTGTTTCTTATTTTCTTTTCTCCCACATTTCTTTTCTTTTTTTTCTGTTTCCTTTCCGTTCTCACGTTATTTCTTTTGGTTTCTTTAACTTTCTCTCTTTCTATATCTGTCTTGTGCATTTTACTTTGATCAAAGTAGGTTTAAACTTTATGCCGGTCCTTGAATTAAAAAAAAAAAACAGATTCATACCCAACCCAAGTCAAACAAAAAAAGTAGACAAAAAAGAAAAAAAAAAAAACAACAAAAAGAAACTATATCTTTAAAAAGCACATCTTTTATTAGAGAATGAATATGTTGTGCATACTTTTGCTTTGGGCGCCCAGAGGAGTTAGAACTTCTTGTGGATTCTTCGAGATATGGAACCAATAGCGAAGTGGAGTGTAGACTGAGCGTCTGCCCTTTTGATCTGGGAGAACTTTATTTCGTTGCTTGTCGGCATTGTGGTAGACTGCGTTTGAGTCCAGGGAAGAAAGTTTGGAGTAAGTGCATGAGAGAAAACCTATCGGCTTCAGAGATGAAAATAATGATACAAGGGCAGTGAAGAAAAAGTGTGTGGGTGTGTGTGTGTGTGTGTGTGTGAGAGAGAGAGAGAGAGAGAGAGAGAGAGAGAAAAATGAAATAATATGAAGGAGAACTGAGTAAAATGATAAAATGATAAAAATATATATATATATATATATATACATACATATATATATATATATATATATATATATATATATATGTATATATATATATATATACATATATATATATATATATATATATATATATATATATATATATATATATATATATATATATATATATATATATATATATATATATATATATATATATATATATATATATATATATATATATATACGTGAATATATTGATGTACTCGGGAGAGATGATAAGGAATTCTCGGATCGAATTTGTGAAAAAAGATTTTGCTGATAAGTCAGTTTTTGTGAAATGAATTGAAATTATACGTTTTCAGCATTCACTCGAAATTATAAATTATCAATCTTTCTGTCTCTGTCTCTCTTTCTCTCACTCTCTCAACATATGCACACACACACACACACACACACACACACATATATATATATATATATATATATATATATGTTTATTATTATTTTTTCATATGGACAAAAACATTTTACTCACTACAAAGATGCAAATATATATATATATATATATATACACACACTATCAGGCCTCGCCCGCTTGCTATCGCTTTGCAAAGATATATATGCTGATTCATATGTCCGTTCATATATATTACGGCATCTTGTCTTCATTGAGATATATTTCTTTGAATAATTTAGACATGATCTGTCTTCTTATTTTCAATAGAATCCTTTCATATTCATGGATAGGCTTTTAAGGTGCCATAATTGAAGGATGAGAGAAAATCTCTGTGTTGATACATATTTTCTTTTGTTAAGATTTTCATAAAAATAGTAGTGTTTAGGAATATTGTCTATAGTGCAGAAAAGTATTTGAAATTTGCATTTTACCTGGCATTAAAAAAGTTGGCATCTATTTGTAAAACTTGCCTTAACTGTTACAAGGAAATTTATGAAGAAAATATTAATTCAAAATTTTTGTTTTAAAGAAAGAGTAAGATCGCACATCGATGAAATTCCGAGTCTTGCTTTGCTGCCGGTGTAGAAAATATGTATATTTATTGACATATATATATATATATATATTCAGGCCTGTCTGTGTGTCGATATATTTATATCTATATATGTATTAATATATATGCATGTATCGGAAACTTGTATATGTGTTTGTTTGTTTGCGTATATAATTATCTATCTATTTATCTATAAATACGTGCATACATTCATATATCCATTTACATATGGATACATATATGTATACACAAATGTACCCGCATAGATACATAGATAGTCTTTGTGAAAGCGAAAGAAAGCGTGAGATGTATTGAGAAATAAAAACTGTAAATGTGGGTATGTATCTACGAAATTCGGCTAATTAAATCACCTTTATTCTAATTTGAAGATCTTATACGTACACATTTACACACACACGCACACACACATACACACACACGCATATATATATATATATATATATATATATATATATATATATATGTATTTATGTTTATATATTTTGAATTTTTAGGTCTGATGAATTGGATCGTATTTACGATTCCAATGGAATAAATTATGTGAATGGAATGTTAGTGTTTAAGCCTTTATATATATATATATATATATATATATATATATATAAAAAGTGGCAAATTAAAAAAATAGTAATGTTTTTTTTTTAAGTATTTATTTATATATAAATATCGAATTTAGTAATTTTCCGCTCATCAAAACATTGTCTATGTTGCATAAAGCGTTCCTTTACACAGGGTACTGTCTGTTTTGCCTTCGCTATGCTCCGGGTCTGTCAATTTTTGAATTCTCTCTTTGGATGTCTAAGACTTGTCCGCTGTGTCTTCTTCATTCTGGGTGTAAGTGTCTTTTTGGCATCCATTTACTTTAAGTCAATGGACTTTTCAGCATAGAACTACATATCTGTTAGCTCCAGTTTTCTCTTAACCTGTGAGAAATGTCCGGCATTGACTGCCAATAAAAGGTTTGGCAGTGCATAACACTTCAGCAATCTTTGTTTTTTGTTTCTTTGTTTCTAACGAAAATTTTCCTTACTTAATACTCTGTTTAGCTTTTCAAATGCACCGTTCGCTAACCCAACGCCCGTTCGGATTTCGGTGTCGCTTATCCCTTCAGATATTTCTTGATAACACCTGCAACTTATACAAGGTGTGCCAGGCATACATCTCACAGATACCTTCCCGAAATATTTTCCAAATCGTAGTAAGATATTAGCTAGAGAAATGCACCACTTACCGAATTTCTGTAGCAACACAGGTGACAGTTTAAAATGTGGGAAGTGTTTTAATATATTCTGTGCAGAGGACCGTTCCCTTTGTATAGCGTATTGTCCTATTGTTAGATTAAGCTTCGAACCATTTATCTTAGAAATGATTAAATATATCTTAACTGGAATTCTCCGAGGATTTTATAACGGTTTCATTCTCGACGCAATCGTCAGGCCGACGATTTCGTCTAGCATGCAACAGCCTGTCGCCTCTGAGTGTTGACTTCAATTTTCACTCCTTATATATATATATATATATATATATATATTGGACAATAAAAAAAATATTAAAAAATTAAAATCTTCAGACACACTGGGTTGTAGATTAATATTCTTTCGTTTTTTTTTTTTTAATATTATTCCATTTAGATTCCTCGACTAGTTTCGGCCGAAACGGCCATCATCGGGAGAAGAAATATTTCTGCTTGCTGGTAGCAGTAAACTACAGAAATGAATGTCTTGCTGGAGAAAATGAATTTTTGTCTGTAGTTTTCATTTGTTTTTTTATTTTTTTATCTTTTTAAGATGAATCTTTTAACATTCCTTGTGTTGGTCAAACAGTCTCTTTTAAGTTGTTATTTGAGATAAGAGCTGGATGGATCTATGCTTCTCTGAATTCCCCTGGTCAGTTTGACAGTTTTATTAGTCCTGGAGAAGGGATGTGTCTCTGTTTAGTGTTTGTGTGTCTGTGTTATTTGGTTCTTAGGGAGTGAGTGAGTATGATATGTGTAAGCGTGTGTATTGCTGTGGGTGTGTGTTATCATTTGGCTCATTAGGGAGTGAGTGAGTATGATGTGTGTAAGTATGTATATATTCGTGTGGGTGAGTGTATATGTGTGAGGCCTCAACACCTCCGTAAGCATGTCTGTCTTGTGTGGGTGAGAAATGTGGGTAGGTTTTGATTTGTTGAGTTATATATTAGTACTATCTATATTGTTAAATTTATAGTTTAGCCCGGCTGGATGCTGTGTTTTTAGACGTTGTATCCACTTATTTTCATGGAACTCTAAAATCTTTCTAATGTTATCTGCTCTGAACTTTTCTATTCTCTCAATTATAGTGAATTTGGCATGGGTTTTGAAATCGTGTTTTTCCTAGCGGAAATGTAGTTCTACAGGTAATATCTTTTCATGGGGAGTCGACTTAATTCAATTGGGATATTTAATAATTCTGTAGTGAAAGGGCCATTCAGATTTTCCTACATATTGTTTCTGGCATAGTGTGCATTCTAGGAGGTAAATTATGTTATGACTTCTACAGTTAGAATCGTGGTAGATTTTGAAAGTAAATTTAGTGATTGAGCTAGTGAATGAATTCGTGTGTTTAATATGGTTGCAACATAAACTTCTTTTGTTGTTACATGGTTGGGAAAATACTGTTGTTTTTGTTCTAATTTATTACGGATTACCTTGTCCACTGAAATGTGGTTACTACCTATGATTTCTTTATAGGTTCTTAGGAATATTGTAGCATATGATGGAGCTGCAATGGTGCCCATGGCACAACCTCTTATTTGAAGGTAGTGTGCTCCATTGAAGTTGAAAGTATTCAATGTAAGGACATGCTCCATGAGTTTTATGATGACTTTGGGGGGGTCTTGTTTTCTTCTTTTAGTAAGTGCTTCCTGAAGGGCAGTTAGCCCTTCGATGTGTTCAATGTTTGAATAGAGTGACCTAACGTCCATAGTCACTAGAATAGCATTCTCTGTAACTGTTTGTATGTGATTAATTTTGTTCAGTAGATCTGTTGTTGTGTCTCTGATGTAGGATTTTTACTTCCTTAGCTAGCGATTGTATGTAGTTTCCTGTTTTCATCTATGTAAATGCGGGTGTCTAAAAATGTTACTGATGTTTTGGATTTTTCATAGTCAAACTAAATTGAG